AGCCGGTTTCTGGGGTTTTGTTTAGCTTCTTATTTGCAACATAGTACATAGTTGCTTAGAGTTGCAGCTGAGAGGCCGGCAAGTCAGGCGGGGAACGTTGGAGTCCGCAGTCACTGGAGCAAGCAAGCCTCCCTGTTCACTTCAGTGCATGGCTGCCAGCCGCCATCTTGGCTGACAGTTAATTTGCATAAGGATATGCTGATTAGCCAATGGGAAGGGTAACGGTCGTACGCTAATTACCATGTTTCTCTTTTATTAGTGTAGATAGAATAAACTTGCTTAATTAGACCTGCTTTCTGATTTAGCTAAACTTTTTCCAGCCGAGGAAGCACCCCAACTTCTCTTTCAGGTAACTGTCAGCAACACAACAGTAAATATTAACATGAAGCAGATTATTAATGTAGATTGTGCAAAGAGAACAAAGGGTGAAATATTTAACTGCAGCAGTGTTTGACTATATTCTGTGCAGTGAGAAAACCTGAAGTCATTTCCAAGGTCCACCATTTCTTACTTCTTTTCAGTCGGGTCAAGTTTCTAAGCTTTCTAAATCTCCATTTTCCGGCTAATGAAAAGAAAATAGGATTCTACTGAGTCTCCTATCTACCTACTCCAGGACTTCTGTGAGGATCAAATGAGATGAGGCACAGGAAAACAAGTCACAGACATTTGGTTAAAGTGGAAATGTTTCCACCTGGCTATAAAGCAAGTCATGTTCCTGGGCTAAAGAAACTCCACCAAGGCTAGTTGCTAGGGAGAGGAAGCCGGGCGTTGCTATGTGATGTCATTACCTGGTGCCCACAGGCACCGTTTCCAGGCTGGGTTGGGCTGTGGGCTGGATTTTGCTCCATGGGGTCTTGGCAGTGTCAGCTACGATCTGGTGGGGTGTCGCTCCGGGGTGGTGGTGGGGCCTGTGTCCCACTTGGGGGAAGCCAAGTGTTGCTTTGTGGGTGCCAGGTCCGTCGTGCCGTTTCTCTCTAAATGGCCAGTGTGCATCACAGCAGCTCCTGTGTTGAGCGTCTGCCCCCTGGTGGTCAGTGCGCATCACAGCGACCAGTTGGATGGTCAGACACTTAGCGTATTAGCCTTTTATATATATAGGTGCTTTTGAATATTTAGTATAGTTGTTCATATTTAAATAGATATTTCATGGATGAACAATATAGCCACTGTCTATATTGTTCACCATCCCATTTCAGTTTAGGCCAGGAATTTACTAAGTCAGGGAGATGAGCTCTGAGAGGACAACCTAGAACCTTCTGTCTTAGCAGACATGTGCCTACTCATTTTACTCTCCCAATAACCCTAAAAATAGATACTATTACGTTCATGCTACAGATGAGGAAACTGAGGCATGGAGTGGGTAAGAAATCCACTAGCTGAGGCATCCAGCCAGTCAAAAGTACACTATAGCTGGGATGAACCCAGACAGTCTTGCTCCAGACTACTTGGCCAGGCGACAGTCATGGCAGTCAATGAAGAGAGGGCTAACCACCGGCTGGCAATGTCTCCCTGACCCTCCTCCCCAATACTACTATGGCCAAAATGCTGCCCACATGCCAAGGTCATGCTCAAAGACTAGCCAGCTCCTCCAGGAAGCCCCCCAGGAAGGAAACCCTAACAAACCAACTTTCCAGGGTACAGAAATCAGAACAGATTAAATAATCTTGCCCCTATGCTCCTGGTTCTTAAACTTTCTCATGCTAGGGACTCCTGTTGGCAGCCTGATAAAGAAGGGCATAAATTTCTTCTCAAAATCTGGTTTTTAAATGTATAAAATACAATACACAAGATTACAAAGGAAACCAATTATATATATTCAGACTAGTGGCCTGGTGCATGAAATTCGTACACATTGAAAGGGAATTAGAGGAACATAATTTGGACTCACTATCTAATATCAATAATATGTGAGCCCTAACCGGTTTGGCTCAGTGGATAGAGCGTCGGCCTGCGGACTGAAAGGTCCCAGGTTCGATTCCGGCCAAGGGCATGTACCTTGGTTGCGGGCACATCCCCAGTAGGGGGTGTGCAGGAGGCAGCTGATCGATGTTCCTCTCTCATCAATGTTTCTAACTCTCTATCCCTCTCCCTTCCTTTCTGTGAAAAATCAATAAAATATATATTTTTTTTTAGATATCATTTAAAAGAGCATTCAGCTTAATATTAAAAACTCTGACTACCAAGTCAGGTCTGTTTTCAACATTTTGCCAGCATTGTAAATTGTTTGCAATATCTGCCCATTTGGGGTTGCATGTCGTAGTTATGAATAAATCGGGCTTGCCACACTTCGTTACAATTGCCACAGCATCCTGATATTGTTGTTGCATATTTCTGGGACTACCCTCAAAAGATGATGGAAGTATTATCATTTTACCAATCGGCACATTGTCATTTTCAGATCTAGATTTGAGATAATCCATCAAACCACTATATTTTTCAACTCTCAACTTAGATTGGTTTGCTTTGATGAAATTTATCCGATTGGCCTCCATTTTTGAATATGAATCCACGATAAACTGTTGAGTTAATTTTCCTGCATTTAAAATAGGATTGAACGTGTCCCACACAGAGAGATGAAATCCATAATACTGCATTTATGTGACTCGTGTCCTTACATTTTTTCTAGTATTATTGTCTATTACACTGTTGTCTCTGAGTCTTAATGCAATATCTGTTCCCCAGCCTTTTTCACCATATGGAAAAAGAATAGGATGTCATTGCATCTAATGTAGGAAACAGGATACTGATTTGTTTCATTGTAGTAGCATTTGGATTATTGGGATCTGGTTTACAATGAATGAGCAAGTCCCTTTCAAAAGGAGGTTCTCCATCTTCGTTTCTGAATATGACAGCAACCTCGTTTACATGGGGAGAATTGTATCTACCTGGGTCACTATTACGATCTTATTTAATCGCCATTGTTACTTCTGTGGGAGCAATACCTTTTGCTGCTGCT